CAGTGGGGAGGTGACCAAAATAGACTTTAGCCTTATCTGTAATATGTTCCCCTTTTTCCAAGGAGAATATATTCATGTGTAAATAGTTATTTAAAACATTCTCGTTAAGAAAAATGTTGTGAACAGAAATGTCAGATACACAAAGGCAGATGGGTTCAAGGAGACTCAAAGGGTTGAAATAATGCTTATTCAAAAGGATAAAGTTATTTCTTACAACACTGAATAGGGCTACTGAAAATATTATTTCTCTAGGACAAACATTCTCAGTAGTAGAAAATTTCAACAAAAAGAAATAGGTAGAATATCATTGTCTCTCCAACAGTTGTGTTATATGGAACAGTACTAACAACAGCTTTTGAGGATTAAAAAAAATTCATTCTCAGAAAATAAAAACTTCAATACTTAAATAATTTTTACAAGGCAATAAAATACACAAGCAATGCTCCAAGCAAGCCCTCTGATGAATGCATGGTCCTGCCACATGGCCTTCGCTCCTGCTGTTCTCCCCAACTGTCGCCTCATCCCTCTCTCCTGTAGGTCTCTGCTCAAATGTCACCTCTGCAGGGACCTTTCCCGACCACGCTCCTTTCTGATCCTCTTTTCCCCTACTCCACTTTTCAGACAGTTATCATTACTTGGCATGTTATATATCGACGTTTATGGGTTTACTGTCTGATTCTTGCACAAGAATGTGAGCTCCATGGTGCAGGACTTTTTGTCTGTTTTCTTCCCAACTATGTCTCTAGCTCCTAAAACAGAGCCTGGAACATAGGAGGGCTTAATAAGTATCTGTTGACGGCATGAATGAATGGGTTCCCCAAATTATGCAGAAGCTTCCCCCAACTCAGCCCCCACACAGGGGCAGAGGGAGGGAGGGAGGGGCTCACCTCCACGTTCCAGACGTAGGAGCTGTGGAACAGCTCCGACCACATCTTGCTCACTTTGTTGATGTCTTTGACATCCCAGATGTAAATGCTGTGGTCTTTATACACACAGGACAGCCACTGGTGGGTGGGGTCAAAAGTCAGCGCCACTGTGTCTGGGTATACTGCTTCTGCCTTCCTGCGGAAGAGGAAACTAACAAAGCCACGAGGGTTATTAATCACCACCAATGCCCCTGTGTGTGCTAACAGTCCATCTGATGACCCTCAAGCTGCCTCCTGCCTGGCAATACCATCTATCCCTCATAATATTTGTCCCCATTCATCCTTCCCACTCCAACTCCACTTCTTGCCCTTCGTTTTGCTCTAAGTCAGAGACTGCAAACTGGAAGCTTCTGTCTGGCACCAAAGGGCATTCGAGTTTTTGATTCCTGTTAGTATTTCTCTCCACCTCATCCAGCCACCCAACTTCCTTTTCTCTCTCTGAGCATGGAAGGATGATGAGCATGAACCTCTCCTTGGCCCCACCAACACAGAATCAAAAATCCTACGCAGTGAATACATTCCATTACATATGCGTTTGATCTCAGTCTTTCTTCTTCATAGCACTTACCACTATCTGAAATTATTCTGTTTATCCCTATGTTTAAGGAGCCTTAGTGGCACTACAGTTAAGTATTAGGCTATTAACCAAAAAGTTGGTGGTTTGAACCCACCTACTGGCTCTGTAGGAAGAAGACTTGGTGATCTGTTCCCATAAAGATTGTTGTTAGGTGCCGTTGAGTCAACTCCGACTCATAGAGACCCATGTACAACAGAATGAAACTGTCTAGTTATGTGCTATCCTCACAATCCTTGCTATATTTGAGCCCATCATCGTAGCCACTTTGTCAATTCATCTTGTTGAGGGTCTTCCCTTTTTCACTGACCTTCTACCCCATAAACATTACAGTCTAGAAAATCCTGTGGGGCATTGTACTCTGTTACATGGGGTAACGATGAATTGAAATCGACATGATGGCACCTAGTAACATCCCTTTGTTTGCTCACTTCATCCATCTAGCCTCACTTCTCATACTGGTACTTGTCTTGTTTGCTTTGTTCATCAATGTAACACCCAAGGCCTAACAAAATCACTCATGTTTGTAGAATGGACAGATAGGTAGACAAATGTAGAAGTATGAATGGATGTCAGCAGACACACTCTGGATGGGTTCGATCCCTTCTCCCTGGTAGTACCTGGACTCCAGGCCCTGGGCCACGTCCACCCCGAGGTAGTGAGGCTTGGGTAAGTTGGCAAGGTACTGTAGGCTGTGGGCCTGGAAGATGCGGACTATCCCATCTGTGCACCCGCAGAAGATGAGCTCCTGACTGACACAGAGGCAAGAAGACAGGGAGACCTGTGGGAGCAAAAGGGACCCAAGTGAACTGGGTGTTTTGTGTGGCCTGGCCCAGGGACATGGGGACTAATAGAGAAGCCTTGGGCTTTGAGAGAGACCTAATAGTTCCTTGTGCCCAAAAAGCCCATTTTAAGATTTCTGAAATTGGGGAGCTCTCGTGGCGTAGTGCCTAAAGCATGTGACTGCTAACCAGAAGGTTGGCGGTTCAAACCCACCAGTCGCTCCTCAGAAGGAAGGTTGGGCAATCTACTTTTATAGTGATATTGCCTTGGAAACCCAAGGATGGGTCGCTATGAGTCGGGTCCAACTCGATGGCAGTGAGTTTGGTTTTGGTTGGTCACTGTTGAAGGAAATGTGCCAGCAGGCAAAGACATGAATTGGCACAGAGTTGTCAATGCTATCTGCAGAGTAACTGACCTGTGCATGGAAATTATCTCTTCAACAGACTGCCACTTCAGACAGGTCACTTACACTAACAGCACTGAATTTTATTTTAAATTTTCTTCCCTATTGCTTAAAAATGACTTCAGAAAGATTGTATTTCAAAGCAGGACACAAAAAGAGACATCCAGGAAGGACTTCCTAGCCTACCAGGACATGTAGATAGGAGAGGAAGGAAGTGCTAGACTTTTGGATAGAGATTAGTGGAGTTTTTCCAAATTCAATAGCAGTTAATTCATAAGTCATTGGAGACAATTGCTCAGGCACTAAACATCCATCTGTCAGAAGCTTCTGATTTGCTTAAACCTGCTTAAGTTCTAGCAGGAGAAGTCAAGTGAGGAGAAAAAATCATTGAACAGTTTAGCCAACTAAGACAGACAGATAAGACTCAGAACTCTTCCACAAGCCCCAACACCATACCATAACCCTAAAGGTGATCACTGGAGGTGAATCACAAAAGCGAAGGACAAGGAGCGTACACCATGATGCTCCTGCCGACGACCAAAGGGGCATCCAGTCTCGGAAAGGGAAGACGGCTTTGACTCACTCTTAGATACTGAGGAAAAGTGGTGACTTATTGATAAATCACTCTTTAGTTTAAAAATTTGTGAATTTTATCTTTTTTGATAGAAAAAGTATGAAATCAATGGTAATTTAGATTAAAACAAAACCCAGAAAAATACCTGAATCTTCCCACCAGCCAAGACTGCTCAGTGAAGAAAAGAAATGTGAACTGGATCAAATCATGTCAGGGAACTAACTGTAACCTTGACCCCTATTGCAGGGTTCTAAGCACTGTGCTAAGGGCCTTGCATGTTATTCTCATATGACTACCTCATGAGGTAGGCAGCAGATTTCCCATTTCACAGAGACTCAGAGAGGTGGAGTCACACAAGCAGACTAAGAAGTCAAAACCAGAGCTTGGTGTCAACTACCAGGCAGGGATGCCAGCAGCATATGGAGACATATCATGGAATGAGAGTTTCCCCTACTGATGGCAGAGAGAGCCAGTGGGATACCTTCAGGTTGATCCACTTTTCCAGCACTCTCTTCTCGTTGAACTGGCAGAGGAGGCCCGAGTAGGACACACAGAAGGTATTGCCTGCCATTCGGCCCCGGCCACAGGCCACACCACAGAAGACGTTGTTGTGCAGCTCGCCAAGGATGCCTGAGCGTCCTACCAGGGGCACTGTACCTGTCACCTGGAGGCAGAGCAGGGCACAGTGAGATGTTGCCTACATGGCTTTGGCCCCCATCAGGGCTACAAATAGGCCTGTCATGATCAGAGGACACAACATAGCTAAACAAAAAAACTAAGAAACTCATCTGAGTGGAGGAAAAGGAAAGAAAAACCAGAACTAATACTTCCAGGAGCTCTGGTAGCATAGTGCCTAAGGCACTTGACTGCTAACCAGAAGGCTGGCGGTTCAAACCCACCAGCCACTCCTCGGAAGGAAGGCTGGGCAATCCTACTTCCGTAGTGATACTGCCTCAGAAACCCAAGGAGGGGTCGCTATGAGTCGGGGCTGACCCCACGGCAAACAACAACAACAACAACAATACTTCCAGGCAGTGGGGTGGGAAGTAATGAGTGACCCAGGAATGAGGCCTAAGGGATCCTGGCAGGGGCCGTGGGTCAGCACCTACAGCGCAGACCCAGAAGCAGAAGCCAGACTCCTAAGAGCCCAGACAACCTTAGAGACTACTGCCCCCAATCTCAGGCAGAAACAGAAGCCCTGATGGTTACTCCCTGAGGCTTGGCTTAAGCACTGGGGCCAGAAACCCACCTTTGCTTCAGTGGAGACTTCCAGAAACCAGAACCTCACGTGCCGGTTTCCGACAGTGACAAAGTAGCTGCTATCCTCTGAGAAGGAGAGGGCGATGACCCTGCATGACACCTTGTTGGAGGCCACCACGATGTCTTTCTGGAAGAATCAGTGCAGAGCAGCTCACGTCAGCACCCACCTCATCCAACCATTCATGCCTTTGCCCTCAGCTCTGGTCTCCCTGCTTCCCCTACTCCAACCTGTCTTCCTTGGGCCCTCCAGGGAGCTGCTTTACGTGTGCTATTCTTATTATCCCTGAACTACAGAGATCAAGCTCTCCCCAAGGGCCAAGCACTGCAGGCCACCTATGGTGTTGGGGACAACCACAGACAGAAGGTAAGGGTGACACTACCCACAGCTGCCATAGATGGAGCTCTTGCTCTGGGCCCCTCATGTGTGCAACCCTTCACAGGATCACTCAGGGAATCCTCTCAATGGTCCTGTGAGGGAGGTATTTCTTCCTCTAATCAGCCAGGCTCAGAGAGGCCATGTCACGTGTTCAAGGTCACAGTGAAAGTTCTAGGCGGAGCCAGGATTTGATACCACTTCTGCTTACTCCAAGCCCTCCCCCAACTATTCCCAAGATCAACCTGGCAGTACATATCAAACTCAATAAATCCTCACAGCCCAATGAGGTACATACTATTATTATATCCATTTTATGGATAAAGAAGCATCCCAAGTTCACAGCTGGTCAATATAAAAATAATTAAAATAATTCCACTAGTTGAGGGCTTGTGTGGTAGTTAACATTATGTGTCAACTTGGCTGGGCCTGGTTTTGAGTGGCTGGGCAGTTGGATACAGTTATTCTCCAGTGAGATTGGTGGAATATACTGGAGCAACTGAGTAACTACCTTAAGGATGTGGTCTACTTCCAGTATATAAGGAGAAGCACTGAGAAGGTCTGCAGCTTTTTGGCACAGTTGGACCCTGCATTTGGCTGAGTTTTTTTTTTAAACTATGATTTGGGTGAAAATTTACAGAGCAAATTCACTTTCCATACAGCAGTTCACATACACTTTGTCTCATTACATTGACCACAATTTACCACAATGCAACAGCTCCCCCACACACACTTCCTCCTGATAATTACCTCTTCCCTGTGTCTATCCCTCCATGCACTCCTGCCCCGAGCTGTCTACCTGTGCATAAACAGCCCTTCTTTCTCCCATGATTGTTCTCTCCAAGGAGTGTATCTACCTCAGGTAAATGTTCAGCTCAAATGCCTGTCTTTTGTTTGGCTGGAAGCCACAGATGTGGGTTCAATTCCAGACCTGAAGGGCAACTAGGGGCCATAGTCTCAGTGATTCCACCAGGCTCTATCAGACCAGCAAACCTGGTCCCCCTCTTTTTTATTTTTCCCCCAAATGATTTTGAGTTTTGTTCCACATTGTTCTCCCTCTCTATCCAGGATCTCCCACACAGATCCCCTTTCAAGTGGTTGACAGTGGTAGCCAGGCACCATCTAGTTCTTCTGGTCTCATAGTTGTATAGGCTGCAGATCGCATGGTGTACCAGTCACTAGGACTAATTGTTTCCATGAATCTTTGGTTTTCTTCATTCTTCTTTGCTCTGGATGAGGAGAGACCCATCGTTGCATCTAGATGGCTGCTTGCAAGCTTTTAAGATCCCAGTCACTACTTGCCAAAGTAGGAGGTGGAACAATGTTTTGTGTAGTATGTTATGCCAATTGAGCTTGATGTTCCCTGTGACTACGGTCCCGAGCCCACAGGTTCAACTACTTGGTCCCTCTGGGTAGCTGGCTGTGACCAAGAAGTGACTATAACCTTGTCCCTTGTCAGCTCTACTATACACCTGGGAATTCAGGTCATACAAATACACTTATAGGACTATTGTCTTTGACTGAGTTTTTATCTCAGTGGCCTGCCATGTTGTCTGCTAATCTTGGGACTGTTAATGGATCTGACTCAGTGGCCTGCTGTGTGGTATGGTACTATTGGGACTGTGCCTTTTTACTTGTCAACCTTGGGCTTGTCAGCCTCAGCAGCCAGCAGCTGCCTGAGTGAAGAAAGCCTCCAGCTTTAGTGGGCCAGGTCCAAGAGGCAGAGCTGAAGCCCAAGGTTGAGGGGCTTTCATATAGCCTCTAGAGCTTGGCACTTTGAACTCAGACTTGTGGCTTCCAAAACTGTAAGAGAATAAATTCCTCTTTGTTAAAGCCACCTGTTTGTGATATTTTCTGTTAGAACAGCATAAAGTAACCAAAACAGCTTGTAACGTGCCCTATAATAAGTGCCTAAAACAGGGATGGTGTGAAGTAGGTACTCAGTAACCATCTGTTGAATGAATGAATGAGCACCGTACTAAATTATGTCATTTTGTTCTCCAATGCCCCAAACACAGGGTCCTCTGGCAACTGCCTGCCTACCCTCAAGCCCACCAGCTGGCTCTCACCTTCCAGTCCCAGACATTGAGCACCATGTCATGCTGGTAGCCCATGGACACGATGTGCTTCATGTTGGGTGAGAAGGCCACGCAGGCCACGCCGTACTTGTGGCCCAGCATTTCCGCCACCTGGCTCTTCTCGTCCACATCCCAGATGCGCACAGCAGGCCTGTGTCCGTTCTGGGAAAGGTGAGGTGGTTACTGCTGCTGGGCTCTGCGTCAGGCAGGGCTAGAGAAACTCTTAGGGTACCTAAGAGCCACCTCCCCACCTCTACTATGGGACTTTTCTGGCCAAGAAAGGGACTCCCCAGGGCTGCTGGGGCAGGCTGAAGAAATGGTCCTCAGACTCTTCCCCACACACTCAGTCAGGATCGTGGACTTACCTCCCCTGTCACTATGTACTTCCCATCGGGTGAGAAGGCCACAGCACTCAGAGACTTCCTGGGGGCAAGGAAAAGGGTAGATCATTGGTTCTGCTGAGGGTGGGCAGCCAGACCCCAGCCCAGATATGCCCACAGGACTCTGCCCACCCCTCCACCCTAAACCTCTGAAAAGGCCAAGAGAACGTGAGCTTGAAGGGTTACGACAGGGCAGTGCTAACTACAGGTCTAACACAGCACATAGCGTGTTCTCCGAGTCCATTCACCTGCTGTCAGAAGGTGAGACAGTGACACAGGGAAATGGGGGTAAAAGGAAAGGCCCTGTTCTACCTAAAACCCCAAATGTACACGGGCAGATACTGTATAGGAACGCTCCTTCCTTTTCCCTGTGCAGGACTGGGTTCCCTAAGAAATCTCAGGATTCCTGAGAAATTTGGATGTGGGAAATGGTACAGATAGGGATTAACTAACAGGGTGGTTCTGATGGAAGAGCCATGGCAGCATCACACTGAGACAGCCTGTCACCTGTGTTCCACTGCTAAATGTTCAAGGTGTTCTGGAAAATCTACCAACCACCGAAACGTGTCTCTCTGATCCTCCTAGCCAGACTGCACAAGGGCTGAAGACCACACTGACCCTTCCCTAGTTTGCACATTTTTTTTGGCAGCAATATTCACCACTCCCAGACTGTGAAGTTTTTTTTTCTCTCTTCTCCCTTTTAATCCTGTTTTTACCTCTGTTCCTTAACAGTCTCATAACTGTGTCCCTCAAATGAATAAATCAGTAAGCAGATTACTAAGTAAATGTCTCTGAGTGACTCTTTAACAATCTCATGGAACATGTATCATCATGTCAGCCCTCCAGTGGCTTCTACTCACTATAGCAGCAGACAGGGTGAGATACCTACCCAATATCCACTCACCCCTCCTTCATTCCTGACTGAACCCCAATTTTAATTGAGATGACAATGTGCCCAGACAGAGTACGTCCTTACCTCCCTGCAGCTCTACAGGTGTGGCTGGCTACGTGACTGGTTTTGCTTGCTGGACTGTGCTTATGAAAACATTTAGAGGTAGAAGGGCAGCATGTCTGCAACTTATTCTCAAATGGTTCAGAAAAGAAAATTATCTACCTATCTATATATAGATAAGGATGAGAAAACAAATGTAGTAAAGGAAATTTGGGCAATACAGGTGAAAGGTATACAAGCACTCTTTGTACTGTTCCTGTAAGTCTGAAATTATTTCCATATAACAAGTTTTTTAATTGGCGATGCCTAGGCCTCAGCCCAGACTAACTGACTCAGCCTTTTCTGGGGATGAAGCCTAGGGGTTAGGTGACTCTGTTATGCAGCCAGAGTGACAGACAGCTGCCAATAGACACCTCCATGCCATCTGCTTCAGATCAGAGTTACTCACTACAGGGATCAGGGAGGCAACATGGAAAAGAGGAACTGGACAAGACAGGCTCTGACAGATGCCACCAAGCTCCAGCCCATCGCTGACACAGAGGAATGCGGGTATCAGGGTCCAGAATCTCTCATTTTTCTAAAACAAGGGACACACCTGGATTTTTGTGTAAAGAAACTTTAAGTACTGTCCATTCTTTCCACTCTTTAAAACACACTGTCTTGGCCAGACCACAAGGTTACAGGCCTCTGGTCTACAATTGCTGCCTTAAGGACACTCTCAAAACAGGAGGCAGCTACTGTATTTCCAGAGAAGGCCAAAGCTCAAGAAAAGAGAAATTTCTTGCCTGTTCTCAGTTAATAATTGCCTGGGACAGGACCAGAACTGAGCTCTGCCTTCACACCTGTGCCAGAATACCCAGGAGCCAAGGGTCCCAGAAACCTCTTCCAAGAGAGAATCTGGGCCACACATGCCATATAGTAACCATGAGGGAAGGAGAAAACTCATACTTTCTCTGTCCACTTGGAGAACAGTGGCACAGGGGTGAGCTTGCCAAGGAGTGATGAATGGCTCTCCAGGATCACAAAGTAACCAATCAATCCCAAGACAGACTCCCCAGCCACTAGGCTAGGCCCACTCACCCACTCAGGGCCACGGGCCTTCCCCAGTAAAGTGACAGTGCTGGGAGACTTAGAGAGGGGCTCGGATTTGGGCAACAGAGGCTAGCTCCACATTAGTCCCTAATCCCCCAGCAAAGGCAGAGGGAAATGGGCTCGGCTCCCACCAACTTTACACCTCCCTCTCCAGCCTCCGTGCTGTTCTTTTGGCCTTGGCTCTTATCAAAGGCAAAGTAGCTGCAGGGATTATTCATTCACTCAGGAAACAGGAAGTGCCATCAATGTGCTGGGGTCACAGGAGTGAGCCGATGAGAGTCCCTGCCCTCACAGAGCTCACACTGTGGAAGGGAAACAGACGGAATATCACTAGTGAGGGAATCAGCCCATCAGACAGCACTAAAATCTGTGGAGGAAGTAAAGCAGAGAGACTGTGCTGCAGCACTGGGTGTGAAAGCAAGCACCCCCCGGCCTGTAAATGCCCTCCAGTGGCTTCTCTTTGAACTCAGCGTAATATCCAACCCCCTCCCCAATCCCTGACAAACCAAGAGTGACCTGGCTTTTGCCTGCTCTAGCCTCATCTCTCCCATACCTGCTCATACCATACACAAATCCTGGGCTGCTCCTCAAACCACCTGAAATTCTTAACCACCATGGGACCCTCTGCCCTTGCTGTTCACATGCCTGGAATACTCTCCCCATACCTTCATATGGGTCACCCCCTCAATACCTTCAGGTCTCAGCCACAGGAGGCCTTCCCTGGGCCCTCTGATAGGGCCTTCCTCTTGCCCATGGCCCAAAGACCTACCCTAACATACACCTCCCATCATTTCCTCCACAGTACTTATCATAATCTGCTAGTAATTTGCCTACTGTTGGCAGTCTGTCTCCCCTACTGGACTGTCAGCTTTATGAGAGCAGAGATTCTCGCCTCTTTTGTTCACTGCTGGATCCCCAGCACCTGGAGGAGTACCTGGCACAGAGCAATCACTGGTGAATGTCACTGAACTTGATGGTCAAGTGAATGAGTCACCCACCCATGAGCCCCTGCAAGACATGTGGGGAAGGAGAATGTGCCAGGACCCTGGTCCCACCTCTATCCCACGCCCAGATCCCAGCCTACCTGGCAGTATTAAAGATGTGCTGCTGTTTATTCTTCTTGGGGTCCAAAATCACCACTACACAGCTGTTAAGAAAGAGGAAAATGTGTCCAAACTGCAGGAAGCATTGGAAGTCCAGAGGTGACTCTAGTCCTAACAGAAGAGCCAACACATAGACAGAACTCCCTCTGAACAGAAGATTCTCTCTCTGGTCTCTTCCTTTAGGTGCTTATGCTGAGAACTCTAGGTACCCACCATTGTTTAAGGAGCTCTGGTGGCGCAGTGCCTAAGGCATTTGACTGCTAACCAGAAGGTTGGCGGTTCAAACCTACCAGCCACTCCATGGAAAGAAGATGGGCCAATCTACTTCTGCAAGGATTTACAGCATCAGAAACCCAATGCGGGTCGCTAGGAGTTGGGATCGACCTGATGGCAGTGGGTTTGGTTTGGTTTTAATTATCATTATTTAGAGCCTTGAAAACTTTATGGAGCAGTTCTATTCTGTCCTTTAAGGTCACTAAAGTCAGCATCGAATTCACAGCAAGGGTTTGGGTTTGTTTGTTTTTAACATTATTATTATTAATACATTCTTAAAATAGAAATCATTACACCTATTCCTCACTTATCAACTATCTTGTTATGACATTTCGCATTTATGACAACAGTAAAATAATCTACTATCTATGTTGTCCATTAACTTGGTTTCCTCTCTGCATCCAGCTCTTGGCCCGCAGAGCCACCCATGTCTGTCAGGCTCACTGCTGAAGCAGCCAGCTCTCCAGAAGGCCTCTTGCTGGTCCCAGCCCCACCACCGGAGCTCCACTGCAGATCTTCATGGGAAAGAGGCAACTGAGGCAGACTGAGAGAAACTTCCGGGAAGGGCCCTCAAGTAGCCGATGGGGGTCAAGAGGAGGTGGGGCAGGGGAGATGGCTGTTACTGCTCCCTTCTACTCAAGCTCCCAGAGGGAACAACTCCTGTAATGCGAAGGACATGGGGGCAATTCAGGGCCTGGGGCTGCAGCAGAAGCCAGCCACCCCCTCCTTCTCTGCAGCCTGCATGCTGAGCTCCTCTTCCAAGCAGCTGCTAGTCTCCATCCAGCCTCTCACCCTCAGATTCTAAGCCCCTTAAGACACAAATGTGGCACTCATTTCTGTGGGGTCCTCCCTGGCTTGGGGGGCAGCAGCAGGTGACTGGAGCTGCAGAAGGGGCACTGCCCAGGCAGCACCCACCACTGAGTCTTGATCGTTAGCCCCACTGGTTGCCCAAGCCCCAGAGGAACCAACTGTACCTCTAGTCCAGCCTCCAGGCCCCATGTCTGTTCAAGTGCCAGCCCTGTAAGTCCTCAGGGTCCAGAGCACAGCAGTGCCAGAGGCACAGCAGTTCTGAGGGTCCAGGCCCCGGGGCTCCTCGTCCTACTCCTCGCATAACAACCTGGTCTCTGGGTCTACTTCCTCTGTGCTTACTATTCTATCAGGCTCTAGGCTAGTTGAGACCTTAAATCTTCATAACTGCCAGGTAAGGTCAGGAAACTTCAGTCCATTTTACAGCTGAAGAAACTGACGCCCAGTGGGGGGAGGTCCTTTGCCCAGGGTCACCTAGGTCAGGGGCAGAACTGGGATGTGAATTCACACTTATCTGATTCAAGAGCCACATCCCTGTCCTCTTTCCTGGACTGCTTCCCAAAGACTCAGTAACAAGTACTGTTCATTGGGAATTACCATGGGTCTGCCCTGCCCTCCTCAGCAGGGAGTCCTTTTAGAGCGAGGACAGTGCCAGGCTAACTCAGTATTTGTGGAACAAATAGGTGCGGGATCTCCTTCAGTCCTGTCAAGCACCAAGAGCAGGACAACACTAGTTTTGCTCTATAGAGTGGAAGCAGAGGCTCAAGAGGGAGGCAGAACATACGTGCTGGGGCTGGGACATGGACCTAGACTGCCTGACACCACACCTTGAGTCTACACCACCTATCTTTCCCAGAAACACTGCTACCTCCCACCTATAGTCACAATTAAGGCTTTTGTAGCCCTCGCTACATGCCAGGTACTGTTCTGGACACAGAAGAGTCTGTGGAATCCTCTCTATGACCCTCAGAAGAAGGCAGTATCATCCACTAATTACATATAAGGAATATGATGCCCAGAGATTCACCCATGACTCCCTAGACAGATGAGAAAGGCTCCAAATTCCCCAGCAGTGATCAGAGGCCAAGGCCTACCCACTTGCTCACCCTGCCAGGTAGGCCACATGGCCTGTGCCGGGGTCACAGGTTAGGCCACTGCTGTTCTGGGCTGTGATGCCAAGGACCTTCTCGAGTGACACCTGCAGAGAAAAGGCCCAAGTCAGAAGCACTTATTCCCAGCAGGTCCCATGTGGCACAGCTGCCTCGGCCACCCATTCAGTCCCCACTACATTCAACACACACTCACTGAGCTTCTGTAGTCACACTACATGCAGCTAACACTTGTTCTCCTCAACATTCACTTGACAAATGCACAGTGCAAGGTGAAGGGCACAGAGCGGGGAAGCACACAGACAAAAATCTCTGCCCTCCAGGAGCTCACATGCTGACAGGGTAGCATGAAAGACAGAGAAAGTGAACAAAACAAATATAAAAATGGCAAGTGACAATAGGAGTAATAGGAAAAAT